CAGGAAAGGGCCTTCCCCAAACTGTTGCCACAAAGTTGGAAGCACAGAATCATCTAGAATGTCATTGTATGCTGTAGCAGCAAGATTCCCCTTCACTGGAACTAAGGGGCCTAGCCCGAACCATAAAAAACAGCCCAAGACCATTATTCCTCCTCCACCAAACTTGACAATTGGCAATATGCATTGGGGCAGGTAGCGTTCTCCTGGCATCCGCCAAACCCAGATTTGTCCATCAGACTGCCAGATGGTGAAGCGTGATTCATCACTCCAGAGACCGCATTTCCACTGCTCCAGAGTCCAATGGCGGCGAGCTTTACACCACTCCAGCCGACGCTTGGCATTGCACATGGTGATCTTAGGCTTGTGTGCGGCTGCTCGGCCATTGGAAACCCATTTCATGAAGCTCCCAACAAACAGTTATTGTGCTGACGTTGCTTCCAGAGGCAGGTTGGAACTCGGTAGTGAGTGTTGCAACCGAGGACAGACTATTTTTTACGCGTTACGCGCGTCAGTACTCGGTGGCCCCGTCCTGTGAGCTTGTGTGGCCTACCACTTCGCGGCTGAGCCGCTGTTGCTCCTAGATGTTTCCACTTCACAATAACAGCACTTACAGTTGACCGGGGCAGCTCCAGCAGAGCAGAAATTTTATGAACTGACTTGATGGAAAGGTGGCATCCTATGACGGTGCTACGTTGAAAGTCACTGATCTCTTCAGCGAGGCCAATGTTTGTCTATGGCTGTGTGTTCGATATTATACACCTGTCAGCAACGGGTGTAGCTGAAATAGCCTAATCTAATTTGAAAGGGTGTCTACATACTTTTGTGTATATAGTTTATATAGCAACACCTCCCCCATAAGCATTCCTGTCTCCTCTATAGATGTTATATCCTTGTATTGCTACTGCTGTATCATCAAAGGAATTATCTAAGTGAATCTCAGAAATTGCTAATTATATGAATGTTATCTGATGTTAGCAAGTTATTGATTTCATTAGCCTTATTTCTAAGGCTACATATATTAATATGGGCTATTTTCAGCCCTTTCCTGGGTAGCTTCTCAGAGATAGACATAATATGGAAAATAATAAACAAAGCAAGAGGGAAAAAAACATACATTTAGCAGTCCATTAATCACTTGGTGTGTGTAAGAGTGTGTGTGTGTGCTGTGGGGTTAAAGCTACGAGCCCTTAGGCTTGGTTCCCTCATCCATTCCAGGCTCTTGGGAGGGAGGGTGGACAATGAGCCTGTCATATCGGATGTAAGCGCTCTGGCAGCTTTCATGGCCGGGATAAGTTATTTTCTCTTCTGGCGCACAGCTTCAGAATATTTCTTGTTGAGGAAGATGTATGTTCCCCTCAAGTTCTTGGCTCTTTCCAGAACCGCAACCTTGGCTCTTTCCAGAACCACTACCTTATCCTTGAACCTCAGGAACTTGATAACTATCGGCATGGGCCTGTCACCTGGGACGGTGGTGGGTTTTCCAGTCCTGTGGGCGCGCTCCAACTCAATCTTCCTGTGGTCCATCTTCAGTTTTTCCGAGATCATATTCCTCACTTTGTCCTCAGACTCCGTCCAGGTCTCGTGGAGATTCTGCAATTCCGTCTACAACAATGTTGTTACACCTTGATTGTCCCTCGAGACAATCTGATTTCTCTGTCATTGTTATCATGGATTCACATACAGAACTAATGTCCTCTTTTACATTTACATTTTACATTTTAGTCATTTAGCAGACGCTCTTATCCAGAGCGACTTACAGTGAGTGCATACATTTTTTATACTCTTTCAATGACTTACAGATTGTTGTCATCTTGCCGTTTTCCCTGTTTAAACTCATTTAGCTGACTCTGGAAGAACTGCATACTGTTCTTCAGGTCCTGGACCTCTCTGGTCAGGTCGTTCATTATTTTATTAGTTGACTCCACCAGTATTTGGGCACAACCCTTGAAGCTATTTTCTTGTTGTTGTAACAACTGCTTGTAGAACTCTTTTGTTCGTTTAAAAGATTATTCACCTGTGATAGAGAGACACCACTGTCCTCAACGGTACTCCCACCGGATTTGGTCTTTGTCATGGTAGCAACGTAGGCTACGCTGTTACTCCCCGGAATTCCAGACAGGGCAGGTCGCAGGGAAGATGGAAACAGCAACAAACATTAGGGATCTAGACAGCCACAAGCCTGGGACAATCCACGGTCCCAGCCACAAGGGCTAACCGCGTCGCGGGCTGCGTTCAAGTCCTCAAGGAAACCCTGCTAGTTTGATAGGCAGCTAACAGTGGCAGCTAGGCTAGCTGCTATGCCAAGCAGCTCTTCAGACCCTTGGTCGGCAGGATCCCTGGATAGATAGCAGCGGACCCAGCAACTGATGCCAACCGCGTAGCGGGATCCAAAATCAAAAGGTAGCTAGCTAGTAACCAAACTTTTCCAATAGAACACTTTTTCAGACACTTTCAAAACTTTCCAAACCAACAAACCGAGCGCTGCCTCATAACACGTACAACAGGAAGTAAAGAAAAGTACAGTACAGTACTATACAGTATGGTACAGTACAGTAGAGTTCAGTACAGTAGAGCACATTAGAGTAGAGTACAGTATAATGTGCTGTATTATACTGTACTCAACTATACTGTGCTGAACATATCTACTTTCCTGCACTCTACTGTACTGTGCGTTGCTGTACTCTACTCTACTGTGCTATACTGTGATGTCCAAACTTGTGAAACAAAGACGTCTATGATTGGTTCAGATTTGGTCTGGTCCGGACCAACCAAATGTGGTCTTGTTTGGGGGTGGAGCTCATTAGAATAATAGCCAATGTGTAGAATAATACCCAATGTTTGCAAAATAAGGATATTGCATATTTTTACCTTTGTGTACCTATTCAGGATACATCACCATCAAGAGAATAATAGTCATATCCATAATTATGAATTTCTGTATTGTATACATCAGGGGCCCATGATGTAATTCCGTTATCATAATTCTGTAAATGTAAATCCACTTCACCTACTGTAGTTCAATAACCAAAATAAAAAATGTTAAACCCAAGGTGTCATGTCATAGCCGGCACTCCATTCTTTCTGTAGACATCTTTGAATCTTAATTCGGATTAGATGTTTAAGAGATTTGGAAAATGTGGTCGCATGAAAAACTGAGGGAGATTTTACCCTAATGCTGTTACCAAACTTTGCATCTGCACAGTTCTTCCTGTAAATGTTTTTTTTTGTGAAATTTGCTGTGTAAATTGTTCAAAGTAGTCCTTGTACATATAGTTGTATGGTTTGCTAAACTTTGAAATCAATGGTTTTTGTTTGGCATACATTTTAAATTGAAAAATCTGAGACAAAGCGTAATTCCGTTATCGTGGAATTGCCATTCTACAGATTGGTGGGGAACCTTAGGCTCTTCATCCATACAGTGAGGGAAAAAAGTATTTGATCCCCTGCTGATTTTGTACGTTTGCCCACTGACAAAGACATGATCAGTCTATAATTTTAATGGTAGGTTTATTTGAACAGTGAGAGACAGAATAACAACAAAAAAATCCAGAAAAACGCATGTCAAAAATGTTATAAATTGATTTGCATTTTAATGAGGGAAATAAGTATTTGACCCCTCTGCAAAACATGACTTAGTACTTGGTGGCAAAACCCTTGTTGGCAATCACAGAGGTCAGACGTTTCTTGTAGTTGGCCACCAGGTTTGCACACATCTCAGGAGGGATTTTGTCCCACACCTCTTTGCAGATTTTCTCCAAGTCATTAAGGTTTCGACCCTGACGTTTGGCAACTCTAACCTTCAGCTCCCTGCACAGATTTTCTATGGGATTAGGGTCTGGAGACTGGCTAGGCCACTCCAGGACCTTAATGTGCTTCTTCTTGAGCCACTCCTTTGTTGCCTTGGCCGTGTGTTTTGGGTCATTGTCATGCTGGAATACCCATCCACGACCCATTTTCAATGCCCTGGCTGAGGGAAGGAGGTTCTCACCCAAGATTTGACGGTACATGGCCCCGTCCATCGTCCCTTTGATGTGGTGAAGTTGTCCTGTCACCTTAGCAGAAAAACACCCCCAAAGCATAATGTTTCCACCTCCATGTTTGACGGTGGGGATGGTGTTCTTGGGGTCATAGGCAGCATTCCTCCTCCTCCAAACACGGCAAGTTGAGTTGATGCCAAAGAGCTCGATTTTGGTCTCATCTGACCACAACACTTTCACTCAGTTCTCCTCTGAATCATTCAGATATTCATTGGCAAACTTCAGACGGGCCTGTATATGTGCTTTCTTGAGCAGAGGGACCTTGCGGGCGCTGCAGGATATCAGTCCTTGATGGCGTAGTGTGTTACCAATTGTTTTCTTGGTGACTATGGTCCCAGCTGCCTTGAGGTCATTGACAAGATCCTCCCATGTAGTTCAGGGCTGATTCCTCACTGTTCTCATGATCATTGCAACTCCACGAGGTGAGATCTTGCATGGAGCCCCAGGCCAAGGGAGATTGACAGTTATTTTGTGTTTCTTCCATTGCGAATATCGTCAAGTTGGTCTCGCCAAAGCTGCTGGAATGGCTTGAGAGAAAATCTGCAAGAGGGTGTGGCCTGTGAGATTTGTTGAAAACCTGGGGTCAACATACAAAAAGTTTGGACACTCTGTGTGCCAACTCAGGGTTTTGTATAAAGTACTGGAGCAGTTTTGATTGAGAGGGGTCAAATACTTATTTCCCTCCATTAAAATGCAAATCAATTTATAACATTTTTGACATGCGTTTTTTCTGGATTTTTTTGTTGTTTATTCTGTCTCTCACTGTTCAAATAAACCTACCATTAAAATTATAGACTGATCATTTCTTGTCAGTGGGCAAACGTTCAAAATCAGCAGGGGATCAAATACTTTTTTCCCTCACTGTACATAGGGCCTTCAGAGGGTGTTGGGCTCTGTTGATGATGAGGGAGATCTGGAGTTGTTCTTTTAAACCCCTTTTAAACTGCTATTTTTCTTACAGGCTGGGCCACGAGGGCCGTGGTGCGTAATGTCTGACGGTTGAATATTGATGTACTGTAGGCTCTTGACCCAATACAGTAAATGGGATTTTACAATTCAAATTCTCTCTATTTTTCTCCTCAGGACTTCGTCATCTACCTACTGAACGTTTCAAGCACTTTGATTGGTCGTTGTAGTGGCGAAGACAAGGAGAGGTCAAAGGTTGACTTCCTGCTCTCTGCCCCCGACATCCTGCCTCGTCACTGCTGCCTATGTCGTCATGACAACAACGATAAAGGTTGTTCCACCGTCTGGCTCCGCCCCTTCCACAGCGCTATGGTAACACGGAACGGGGAGACGTTGTCCAAAGAGGCGGAGCTTAGTCCAGGTGATGTCATCGGGATAGGACGTCACTACCTGTTCTTGTTCAAGGACCCCACTGCCTGGGTTGTTATGCAGAAGGTGAATAAGTTAAAATCAAATCAAATTGTATTGGTCACATACACATGTTTAGCAGATGTTATTGCGGGTGTAGCGAAATGCTTGTGTTTCTAGCTCCAACGGTGCAGTAATATCTAACAATTCACAACAATACACATAATACACACAATCTCAAAGTAAAATAATGGAAATAAGAAATATATCAATATTAGGACGAGCAATGTCGGAGTGGCATAGACTAAAATACAGTAGAATAGAATACAGTATATACATATGAGATGAGTAAAGCAAAAATATGTAAACATTATTAAAGTGACTAGTGTTCCATTATTAAAGTGGCCAGTGACTTCAAGTCTATGTACAGTTGAAGTCAGAAGTTACACTTAGGTTGGAGTCATTAAAACTCGATTTTCAACCACTCCACAAATGTCTTGTTAACAAACCATAGTTTTGGCAAATCGGTTAGGACATCAACATTGTGCATGACACAAGTCATTTTTCCAACAATTGTTTACAGACAGATTATTTCACTTAGAATTCACTGTATCACAATTCCAGTGGGTCAGAAGTTTACATACACTAAGTTGACTGTGCCTTTAAACAGCTTGGAAAATTCCAGAAAATGATGTCATGGCTTTAGAAGCTTCTGATAGGCGAATTGACATAATTTGAGTCAATTGGAGGTGTACCTGTGGATGTATTTCAAGGCCTACCTTCAAACTCAGTGCCTCTTTGCTTGACATCAAGGGAAAATCAAAAGAAATCTCAAAATACTTATTTTCCACCATAATTTGCAAATAAATTCATAAAAAATCCTACAATGTGATTTTCTGGATTTCTTTTTTCTCATAGTTGACGTGTACCTATGATGAAAATTACAGGCCTCTCTCATCTTTTTAAGTGGGAGAACTTGCACAATTGGTGGCTGACTAAATACTATTTTTCCCCAATGTTATGGCAAAATGGCTTAAGGACAACAAAGTCAAGGTATTGGAGTAGCCATCACAAAGCCCTGACCTCAATCCTATAGAAAATGTGTGGGCAGAACTGAAAAAGTGTGTGCGAGCAAGGAGGCCTACAAACCTGACTCAGTTACACCAGCTCTGTCAGGAGGAATGGGCCAGAATTCACCCAACTAATTGTGGGAAGCTTGTGGAAGGCTACCCGAATCGTTTGACCCAAGTTAAACAATTTAAAGGCAATGCTACCAAATACTAATTGAGTGTATGTAAACTTCTGACCCACTGGGAATGTGATGAAAGAAATAAAAGCTGAAATAAATAATTCTCTCTACTATTATTCTGATATTTCACATTCTTAAAATAAAGTGGTGATCCTAACTGACCTAAAACAGGGAATTTTTACTAGGATTAAATGTCAGGAATTGTGAAAACTGAGTTTAAATGTATTTGTCTAAGGTGTATGTAAACTTCCGACTTCAGCTGTATATAGCGCAGCAGCCTCTAAGGTGCAGGGTTACGTAACCGGGTGGTAGCCGACTAGTGATGGCTATTTAACAGTCTGATGGCCTTGAGATAGAAGCTGTTTTTCAGTCTCTCGGTCCCAGCTTTGATGTACCTGTACTGACCTCGCCTTCTGGATGATGATGGGGTGAACAGGCAGTGGCTCGGGTGGTAGTTGTCCTTGATTATCTTTTTGCCTTCCTGTGACATCGGGTGCTGTAGGTGTCCTGGAGGGCAGGTAGTTTGCCCCTGGTGATGTGTTGGGCAGACCGCACCACCCTCTGGAGAGCCCTGTGGTTGCGGGCGGTGCAGTTGCCGTACCAGGCGGTGATACAGCCCGACAGGATGCTCTCAATTGTGCATCTGTAAAAGTTTGTGAGGGTTTTAGGTGCCAAACCACATTTTTTCAGATGTGTACGCAGAGAAAGCTTTCCATCTTCTCCACTGCGGTCCCGTCGATGTAGGTAGGGGCGTGCTCCCTCTGTCGTTTCCTGAAGTCCACGAGAAGCTCCTTTGTTTTGTTGACGTTGAATGAGAGATTATTTTCCTGGCACCACACTCCCAGGGCCCTCACCTCCTCCCTGTAAGCTGTCTCGTCATTGTTGGTAATCAGGCCTACTACTGTTGTGTCGTCTGCAAACTTGATGATTGAGTTGGAGGCGTGCATGGCCACGTAGTCATGGGTGAACAGGGAGTACAGGAGGGGGCTGAGCACGCACCGTTGTGGGGCCCCTGTGTTGAGGATCAGCGACGTGGAGGTGTTGTTTCCTACCTTCACCACCTGGGGGCGGCCCGTCAGGAAGTCCAGGACCCAGTTGCACAGGGTGGGGTTCAGACCCAGGGCCCCGAGCTTAATGATGAGCTTGGAGGGTACTATGGTGTTGAATGCTGAGCTATGGTCAATGAACAGCATTCTTACATACAGTTGAAGTCGGAAGTTTACATACACCTTAGCCAAATACATTTAAACTCAGTTTTTCCACAATTCCTGACATTTAATCCTAGTAAACATTCCCTGTCTTAGGTCAGTTAAGATCACCACTTTATTTTAAGAATGTGAAATGTCAAAATAATAGTAGAGAGAATTATTTATTACAGCTTTTATTTCTTTCATCACATTCCCAGTGGGTCAGAAGTTTACATACACTCAATTAGTATTTGGTAGCATTGCCTTTAAATTGTTTAACTTGGGTCAAACGCTTCGGGGAACCTTCCACAAGCTTCCCACAATAAGTTGGGTGAATCTTGGCCCATTCCTCCTAACAGAGCTGGTGTAACTGAGTCAGGTTTGCAGGCCTCCTTGATCGCACACGCTTTTTCAGTTCTGCCCACAAATGTTCTATAGGATTGATGTCAGGGCTTTGTGATGGCCACTGCAATACCTTGACTTTTTATCCTTAAGCCATTTTTCCACAACTTTGGAAGTATGCTTGGGGTCATTGTCCATTTGGAAGACCCATTTGCGACCAAGCTTTAACTTCCTGACTGATGTCTTGAGATGTTGCTTCAATATATCTACATCATTTTCCTTCCTCATGATTCCATCTATCTTGTGAAGTGCACCAGTCCCTCCTGCAGCAAAGCACCCCCACAGCATGATGCTGCCAACCAAGTGCTTCACGGTTGGGATGGTGTTCTTCGGCTTGCAAGCTATCCCCTTTTTCCTCCAAACATAGCGATGGTCATTATGGCCAAACAGTTCGATTTTTGTTTCATCAGACCAGAGGACATTTCTCCAAAAAGTACGATCTTTGTCCCCATTTGCAGTTGCAAACCATAGTGTGGCTTTTTTATGGCGGTTTTAGAGCAGTGGCTTCTTCCTTGCTGAGCGGCCTTTCAGGTTATGTCGATATAGGACTCGTTTTACTGTGGATATAGATACTTTTGTACCTGTTTCCTCCAGCATCTTCACAAGGTCCTTTGCTGTTGTTCTGGGATTGATTTGCACTTTTCGCACCAAAGTACGTTCATCTCTATGAGACAGAACGCGTCTCCTTCCTGAGCGGTAAGACGGCTACGTGGTCCCATGGTGTTTATACTTGCATACTATTGTTTGTACAGATGAACGTGGTACCTTCAGGCGTTTGGAAATTGCTCCCAAGGATGAACCAGACGTGCGGAGGTCTACCATTTATTTTCTTAGGTCTTGGCTGATTTCTTTTGATTTTCCCATGATGTGAAGCAAAGAGGCACTGCGTTTGAAGGTAGGCCTTGAAATACATCCACAGATACACCTCCAATTGACTCAAATTATGTCAATTAGCCTATCAGAAGCTTCTAAAGCCATGACATCATTTTCTGGAATTTTCCACTGGAATTGTGACACAGTGAATTATAAGTGAAATAATCTGTCTGTAAACAATTGTTGCAAATATTACTTGCCAAAACTATAGTTTGTTAACAAGATATTTGTGGATTGGTTGAAAAACAAGTTTTAATGACTCCAACATAAGTGTATGTAAACTTCTGACTTCAACTGTAGGTATTCCTCTTGTCCAGATGGGGTAGAGCAGTGTGCAGTGCGATGGCGATTGCATCGTCTATGGATCTATTGGGGCGGTAAGCAAATTGAAGTGGGTCTAGGTTGTCAGGTAAGGTAGCCTCTCAAAGAACTTCATGATGACAGAAGTGAGTGGTACGGGCGATAGTCATTTAGTTCAGTTACCTTTGCTTTCTTGGGTACAGGAACGATGGTGGACATCTTGAAGCAAGTGGGGACAGCAGACTGGGATAGGGAGAGATTGAATATGTCCGTAAACACTCCAGCCAGCTGGTCTGCGCATGCTCTGAGGACGCGGCTAGGGATGCCGTATGGTCCGGCAGCCTTTCGAGGATTAACACGCTTAAATGTCTTACTCACGTCGGCCTCGGAGAAGGAGAGCCCACAGTCCTTGGTAGTGGGCCACGTCGCTGGCACTGTGTTATCCTCAAAACGGGCGAAGAAGGTGTTTAGCTTGTCCGGAAGCAAGACGTCGGTGTCCGCGACGTGGCTGGTTTTCCCTTTGTAGTCCATGATTGTCTGTAGACCCTGCCACATACGTCTTGTGTCTGAGCCGTTGAATTGCGACTCCACTTTGTCTCTATACTAATGTTTTGCCTGTTTGATTGCCTTACGGAGGGAATAACTGCACTGTTTGTATTCGGCCATATTCCCAGTCACCTTGCCATGTTTAAATGCGATGGTTCGCGCTTTCAGTTTTGCACGAATGCTGCCATCTATCCACGGTTTCTGGTTTGGGTAGGTTTTAATAGTCACAGTGGGTACAACATCTCCAATATACCTACTGATGAACTCAGTCACCGTATCCGTGTATTCATTAATGTTATTCTCAGAGGCTACCCAGAACATATCCTAGTCCGCATGATCAAAACAATCTTGAAGCATGGATTCCGATTGGTCAGACCGGCGTTGAATAGTCCTTAGCACGGGTACTTCCTGTTTGAGTTTCTGCCTATAGGAAGGGAGGAGCAAAATGGAGTCGTGATCAGATTTGCCGAAGGGAGGGCAGGGGAGGGTCTTGTAGGCATTTTGAAAAGCTGAGTAGCAGTGTTCTAATGTTTTCTTAGTGCGAGTGCTACAGTCAATGTGTTGGTAGAACTTCAATAGCGTTTTCCTCAAATTTGTTTTGTTAAAATCCCCAGCTACAATAAATGCGGCCTCCAGGATATGTGGTTTCCAGTTTGCATAAAGTCCAGTGTAGTTCTTTGAGGGCCGTTGTGGTATCGGCTTGAGGGGGAATATACACAGCTGTGACTATAACCAAAGATAATTTTATTGGGAGGTATTCTAGGTCGGGTGAACAAAAGTCACTATAACCACGTTTCCATCCACAGTTTTTATGCGAGTAAAGTCATACCGTATATAAACAAATCACGACAGCTGTGATGGAAACAGGGAGTTTAGGTACAATTTTATAAATGCCAACAGATAATTTGTTCATTCGACATGGTGGGATCTAAAATGTATTATGCGAGAAATGGCAGTGGAAACGTCTTTATGCCCAAATATTGATATAATAACCATCATATCGAAGTAAACTTGGAGTCACGCGATGATATGGTGTGTGGTCCTCCCACTATGACTCGGGAAACCATGCAGTTTATTAGGCTACATATTAAATAAGTTATGAACTTCACAGGGTGATGAAAGTGCACGGTGATCTTGATGCTCCTTTCCAATAAATATTGAGGTCTTAATGTGGTGACATGATGATAGATGCTTGACTGCCGTTTGACAAATACAAATATTTGAGCTCTTATCCATAATAATCTCATAATGTAGACTAGCCTACCCGCACAGCCTACCCACACTGTATCTGCGAGCTGTTGGCTAGAGCACACGTGCCAAGACCAGAGTAGGCACATTTGCTATTTAACGCAACAGTTGTTATGATAGAAAAATTGGTAGAGTTGAAAATGCAATGGAAACATATTGAACTTTGGATTTGTATCCGCTATATGAACACTTAAGCGAAAAAGTACATTTTGTGTGCATTACATCATCATGCACTGATTTTTATCTGCAACAAGTCCATTTGTTGGAAACACTACTGGTGGGAAAATACTAATATTTTCTTTATGCCGATTCGAGAATATTTGCATGAAAATCAGTCGCCAATTGGATGGAAACCTAGCTTATGAAAACATTTAGAACTAACAATTTTATTCTAGCTCTGTGATTGTTACTAAACATATATTTTTGGGAGGTTTTAAGGTTTTACTTCTGATGCATTTTGTTTTTAGGTGAAGGACCCCACTTCTTCACCAGATCCTACAGTCACTGCTGCCCCCGGGGTGCTGCCCCAGGCCACTACACCCGCTACTAGTAAATCAGCACTCTGCAACACCTGCATGGCAGCTAGGAGGGAATCTAGTGGGACCAGAGAAATAAGGTAACATCTGCTCACTGGTTGCTGCTCCTACAAGCTTTTAGTTTTACAGGTCTTAATTGTAAATTATTTAGATTAAATAAAAAACGATTCACGAGTTTAAGGACCAGACATTGAAATGGGTTTGGAATATTTATTGAGGAAATGGAGTGGATGTGAGAATGAGGATTCAGGAGGGGAATGAGAATGGACCGGATGAATCAGAGAGCTGCAGATGAAGGATCCAGAGGGGTGGACTCTAGAGTTTGGCTTGGAGTCTCAGGTAGACATCATTGTCAGGCAGTGGTAGTTAGGCTGCTGTGGTGGAAACCTCCACAGGAGAGCCTTAGAAGAACATAAGAGATACTAGATAGAAGGTGGGATGCAAAACTCAATAAGGCTCATAAACACACAGCATCGTGACATGCGCTGCAGAACAAACCGGAAGAATGTTAGTTTGGTCAGGTTTAAGTAGGGTGGCAGTGGTGATTAAGGAGAGTGAGGACCGGTGTGGAGGCTGATTAGCAATGAGTTGCAGCTGATGCTTTTTAGGAGCTGCGTTCAAGGCAACTAGTTAAAGTGTTGTAAACAGGAATGGCGGCTGATTGGCAATTAGTAGCAGTTGCTAGGGAGCTGCGTTCAAGGCAACTAATTAAAGTGTTGCATTCAAGTCTGGTCCTCTCCTGAATTTTTGTTAATTCTTAACACCATAAAAAAAAATATATAGACACACGTTTCCACTGACATGGTCTTCATCAGGTCTAGAAGGGCCACAGCTTGCCTAAAAGACCCTGAGGGTCGCGACCTGAACCTACTCTACGTTGTGGAGCATGAGGAAACTGTCGTCAAGGAAATCGTTGCCATGGGGAGTGTCCATAGAGACAAGCCGCCGTTGACTGTAGCATTCCTGCTGAGTGTGTGTGTCGAACATTCCGCCACACACCTCCAAACCTCAGAACTCCGCAGACTACTGCTGCTCATAGCCAGCCAGTTCCAGAACGCCATGTGGGTCAGTGAGGTTACTGTATGTTACTTTATATTCAATATGGCTGTATGAATGATCATCTCTTATTTTCTCTTTACATTTGGATCAGAAAAGTTTATAGGCCTAATATTTCATTTTGTCCCCATGGTTTGTTACAGGAACACACCAATGAGCTTGCTGCTAGTCAACCTGAAGTGTGAGTGCCTGCACAAAGCCAAATATTTCCATCTCTGTATTACACAGAGTTACACATGCCAATAAAATCCTTGCCACTGTATGATTATAGGCATAGGATCTGATTCCAGATCTGTTCCTTGGTATCCCAGTCTCTGTAGTGATCCAGAGGAGCAGCAGCCTCTCAACCTGGCAGAACTGGTCTCAGGCCTGCGTCCCCTGGTGGTCTGGATGTCCAACGCCATGGAGTTGCTGTATTACATCCAACAACAGCTGCCCCAAACACTGGCCTGGAGGTCACACAGAGAGCAGGGGGTGGAGGCAGAGGGAAAGGAACACAATGACAAGGAGGATGAAGAGAGGGAGGAGGAGTGTATGGGTTAGTTTTGGGCTTTTCTAGCCTAGCCTCACCTGCTAGCCAGGGGACTAAAAGCCTAAAGAAAGCCTACGAAGAACTTTACGTAGGATCCATAACACCTATTAAGACATTTACCTATATTTTCTGTTTGTTGTCAGCCCTGTTGGAGATGAGGCTGTCGTATGTGAGGTCGGCCAGTGAAGAAGCCATGACGGTTCTGGAGGAAGTTATCATGTTGACCTTTCAGCAGTGTGTCTACTACCTCACCAAGGTCAGTATCCCACACACCTGAACTTTAAGCTCCATCAGTCACATTTTAGTGAGTTCAGCACCCGAGACTAGACCAGGGGTACACAACTGGCCTACAACTGGAGAACTTTAAAGGACTAAACTCCTCAGCAACACGCTACATACCCCCTGATGTAGTAGTTAGCTCACATTGCTTTAGCTTTTCCCTTCAGGGACTGATAGGTTTGTTGTGTCTCTTAGTCTGAGAAAGAAAAACAATCAGAGAGGGAGTCGGTACAAAGAGTCCAGTTAGTTAGTCCTCTCTAGAGCAGAGCCCTGAGAGAGGCTTTCTGATAGAGCAGCCTTATTGGACTGCTACACTGGGGTCTTTATTGCTGGTCACAGACAGACAGCAGGGGCATTGTAGGGCTGTGTGTGTGCGTCAGGCCTCTTGTCATTAAGGAGTTTAGAAGTGTTGCCAGGTGTGTGTGTGTGCATGTGTGTATACTGTTTGAGAGGAACTATTGGCAGCTGGGGTACAGCTGGTTGCCTTATATCAGTCGGCACACCATCAGTCAAAGTGTGTAGTCTGACAAAGAATTCCACAATGGAAGTTTACTTTGTCATCTTTTGATCACTCCTTGGAGAGGGTCAGGGATCGTTGTTATCATAAACAGACGTCATAGACACAGTCCTCATCCACCTCGACCACCCTCTGCCTAACCCTGCCTGTGATCTGTGACTGCACACTACAGTACCTCCCAAACCAAGAGAACATGACATAGTCATGTACAGGAAGCCACGTCAAGCGTTAGCCATGTTAGCATTAGCATCAGCCAAGGTAAATTAACTCAAGCCGAGCGTTAGGTGCAGCCTATGCTAAATGCTACGCTAACTGGAAGTCAGTTGTATGCTTACTGAGGCCAGAGGAGTCCATGGCACTGCTCCGTATCTGTTTCCTGTTCAGGAAGGAAGTGGGAGGGAAAGAGTATCATCACTATAATTTCTCCAAAGAGGAAACAGAATAGATTCCTGGAGAGGGTTCGGGGATAGGCAGGCTAGCAGGTTAGCAGTGATGACCTATTGAACTGTACAGGTCTTCAACTGAAGCTCCCAACCATATGACAGCATTGGTGCATTGGCATTTCAACTGACTCAGTCTACAGATAATGACAAGTGATTCATCCAACAGACAGAACCCTCTCTGTTATGTCTCCTGGGTTTCATAACCACGTCTTTATAACAATTCAATTATGATGAGACAGGAGACGGGAAACAGTTTAACCATTTATCTGGAACATGATCATCTCAACACACACAACTCCCATGATGCTCTTCGGCACAACCCCAACACACAACATCTCCTCCCACCTACTTAAATTGTACCCATTGTGAACAACAGTAACTGTTCTACAAGTCCAAGCATCTAGGTGCCCGCCTACCTCTTGAATGGTAACGGTGGTCAACCTGACTCTCAACAACAATGTCTCTAGACTGTGGCGTTGACACAGGTGTAGGTATTTGAGTAGCCTGTGTCACAGTCTCATCACACACTTGTGTTGTTGCGGCTGAGTCAGTGTCCTAAGAACATGACTGTGAGCCCCTAGGTGATGACTGCTGGGTCAGGGTGTCACCCAGTAACAGTTCTGGACCTCTCATGACTGGTGGTTCTGTCGGTGTGACCTTACTCAACAGTAACTGCCTACTGGGCACACTACGTCATTTCAACTTAATTGGGTAACATTTGGTTGAGACGTTGATCAACAAGATTAAAACGTACGTATATTCACACACTCAAAGAGAGTTTTAGAATTTTGGTAAGATCGAGTTTGAAAACTTGACTAATAATTACCTCAGTGCATTTGTAAAGTATTCAGACCCCTTGACTTTTTCCACATTTTATTACGTTACAGCCTTATTCTAAAATTGATTAAATACACATTTTCCCTCATCAATCTACACACAATACCCCATAATGACAAAGCGGAAACAGGTTTTAGAAATGTTTGCAAAAAACCAACAACAAATAACTGAAAAAACATCCTGTTTCCATTGATCATCCTTGAGATGTTTCTACAACTTGATTGGAGTCCACCTGTGGTAATTTCAATTGGAAAAGCACACGCCTGTCTATATAAGGTCCCACAGTTGACAGTGCATGTCAGAGCAAAAACCAAGCAATGAGGTCGAAGGAATTGTATGTAGAGCTCTGAGACAGGATTGTGTCAAGGCACAGATCTGGGGAAGGGTACCAAAACATTTTTGCAGCTTTGAAGGTCCCCTAGAACACAGTGGCCTCCATCATTCTTAAATGGAAGAGGTTTGGAACCACCAAGACTCTTCCTAGAGCTGGCTGCCCGGCCAAACTGAGCAATCGGGGAAGAAGAGCCTTGGTCAGAGAGGTGACCAAGAACCCGATGGTCACTCTGACAGAGCTTCATCTCCTCTGTGGAGATGGGAGAACCTTCCAGAAGAACAACCATCTCTGCAGCACTCCACCAAGATTGAACTCTTTGGCCTGAATGCCAAGCGTCGCAACTGGAGGAAACCTGGCACCATCCCTTCGGTGAAGCATGGTGGTGGCAGCATCATGCTGTGGGGATGTTCTTCAGCGGCAGGGACTGGGAGACTAGTCAGGATCAAGGGAAAGATGAACGGAGCAAAGTACAGAGAGATCCTTGATGGAAACCATAGCACTCAAGACCTCAGACAGGGGCAAAGGTTCACCTTCCAACAGGACAACAACCCTAAGCACACAGCCAAGACAACGCAGGAGTGGCTTTGGAACAAGTCTCTGAATGTCCTTGAGATGGCCTAGCCAGAGCCCAGACTTGAACCCGATCGAACATCTCTGGAGAGACCTGAAAATAGCTGTGCATCGACGCTCCCCATCCAACCTGACAGAGCTTGAGAGGATCTGCAGAGAAGAATGGGAGAAACTCCCCAAATAGAAGTCTGCCAAGTTTGTAGCGTCATACCCAAGAAGAATCGGGCTGTAATCGCTGCCAAAGGTGCTTGAACAAAGTACTGAGTAAAGGGTCTGAATACTTACGTAAATGTGATATTTCAATTTTTTATATTTAATACATTTACAAAAATTTCTAAATACCTGTTTTTGCTTTGTCATTATGGGGTATTGTGTGTAGATTGATGAGAAATAAATATATTTAATCCATTTTAGAATAAGGCTGTAACGTAACAAAATTTGAAAAAAGTCAAGGGGTCTGAATACTTTCCGAATGCACTATAATTTTGTATATATTAGTTTTTTACTCAAACCACACCGCGGGCAGTATGTTTGACACCCCTGCTGTAAAGTTTTTCATCCTACCCAGCTCTCCATTAAATACTTTTACATGTTTATTTAAAATGGCCGGTAGGCTTGTGTCTCCATGTGTCATTGTAATCCAGTGTGATTTTCTCCAACCACAACCATCCCAGTAGTGATGGATAGTCCCCTTTCACGACGTAGAGTGGCAGCTTATCAGTTTGTCCGTTTAACTAAACTGTGAGCTCAGTGATACCTCTCACAGCGACAGATTCACCTGCGTAAGTCTTTAACACGATGTGTGCTGGCTGAAGTGGAAGGTGTTTCAGTGTCTTTTTGTAGACTGTGTCTGACACGAGATAGAGCTGCCCCTGTGTCTATCTCCATACGCACTGGTTGCCTCTCTAGCAACTGAGAGACACACTAGCCGTGCGGTCCCCTTGCAACAGTCAGGATATTCAGTTCGACTTCCTCGTCTGATGAGTCATTCATCCCAGTGGTCTCTTGCTCAAACGCGTGAACATGTCTCTTTTTCCTTTTGTTGGAATGTCTCTTTCTTCTTTTCAGTCTTTCACATTTTCTATTTTTGTTTCTGCACGCTCGCTCAATGTGGCCCTTTTTACCACAGGCTCGGCAATCCATGTCCTTACACCAGCATATAGGCGCCTGATGTCCCACCGTGCCTCAGTGGAAGCATGTGCCTTCATTTCTCTATCTGTGATTTTCAGTTGCAACTGTGCACTTTTCCTGATGAACTCAAACTGCTGAGCCTCTTTAGCAGCTAGTTCCATGGACACACTGACTTCAGTGGCTCTTGACAAGGTCAGATTACTTTCAGTCAATAGTCTCTTTTGTGTAGCTTCACTCTGTAGCCCACATACTAGTCTGTCTCTATTGGTGTCATTTAGAACATCATTAAACTCACAGTGCTCTGATAGTTTATTTAATGCAGCAGCAAAACATTGTCACTGATTCTCCCTCTTCCGGATTTCTTTTGTGGAACCTTTCAGCAATAACTAGTGGTTTTGGTGAAAAGTGTCCTTTCAGTATTTCCACAATCTCCCCATACATCTTATTACCTGGCCTGACTGGCTGTAGCAGGCTGCGTAGTAAACTAATGTCTTTGGCCCCGTAACACAAAAAAATGTAGGCACAATTTTGTCCTCATCAATGTCATTTGCAAGAACAAAAAATCCAATGTTTTAAACAATTCCAGCCATTTTTCGTTTCTCAATAGGCTCCTGATTATCACTCACTAAATATTGTCCACAACCACATTTTCCTCAGTCACGTGATCTTCATTCACTTCACTCACTGACTTTTCATCCTCAAGTTAGCTCATTTAGTAGTTTTTAATTCCAAAGTTCGTCTTTCCTTTACTGTATATCCCTCCTATTTTAATCTCGTTGTTTTCCCACTCCAACGTCCGTCTTGAATCATTTTCTGCCATCGACGATGCTAACTCTCTCTTAGCTAGCTCGACTATTCACTTGCCTCTGCTAGCAATACACTGTGCTAACGGAAAATAAGTTTTAAACTTGTAAAAACCAACATCTTCCAGACAGAATAGTTCCTGTATGTTCAGACTTACTCATCATCAATCTTTTGTTATGTCTCCTGGGTTTCATAACCACATCTTTATAACAATTCAATAATGATGAGACGGGAAACAGGAATTCAGTTCAGTCATTTATCTGGAACATGATCATCTCAACACACACAACTCCCATGATGCTCTGCAACACAATCCCAACACACAACACTCTAGATAAGTTTGTGGTTTACATATTTTTGCACAATGCAGAAGGAAATGGTTGTCCACTCTGTGAACTACCTGGCCTCAGTATCCATTTCTGCTGTGCTGGGATGCATTTGAGTCATACGATCCTGAGGGTTTCCAGATGTTTAGGTCATGTCTGTTCATTCATGGATGACAATGTAATACTTACTGCTATATCTAAATTCCTGTAAATCTAGTGGTTTATTGGTATGTCTGATGATTCCTTTTTCCAAATCCATCCTCAATCTCTGTTTTGAGCTCATGGTCCTACTCAAGCTGTGTAGTCCTAGTGATTTGTGTGGTTCTAAGTTTGTGTTGCTCCTTGAGCTGTGCAGAGATGTGTAGTTCTGGTGATTGTGTGGTTGGTGGGTTTCTCTGGATGTAGATCTCCTCATCGATCATATATGTCAGGACTAGAGCTCTAGTTAGTTCCAGTTAGTTCTGACAGCTAGACTGGACCAAACAATGCTAGGAATGTGTTAGCAGCAGGGGCGAGCTGTGTGTGTGTGTGTGTGTGTGCGAGGCTAGCATTCATGGGGAAAGCTTCTCAAAGCCTCACTTCTTCACAGATCTCTATTCATCTTTGTATGGCAGCCAGGGTTATATTTTATAGGAAAAGGGTGTTTATCGAGGGCTACCTGTATGTGTGACTGTGTGTCAAGGTGTGTGACTGTGTGTGGGTGGGGGGGGTGTATGTTCAAGAGACAGGACCGCAGAATTGATATTCTCCCTCTCAATACTCTCCCTTGTCACAACACTCTGAGAATACTGGTCTGGTGTGTGTTGCGTGTGTGTGCTACTGTTTTCTGAGCAAATTCAAATGTAAACCAAACAGAGCTGAATGGCTTGTCTAAAGCTATAATAACAGAAATGAAATGATGTGCTTATATTGGGATCATGTCGTGCCATTCCATCTGGTGTAGGGGAAACAGATGCTGGTGTGGGCTGGAAAACAAAAGACTCTTCTGGTGATCAGCCGGTCCCAGAGGAGGACCTGGCATGAATACACAAACACGCACGCATGCACACACACACACACACACATACACACACACACACATACATACATACATACCCACACTTTCCGCCTACAGGGCATGATAAGTGCCATGGCTACATGTGGCATTACAGTGAAACACTGGAACATGGTGAGGGTGTGTCATTGTTTTGTTGGGCATCTGGTGATGAGCTACATTTTCCAACTGAAAACATGGACACATTGTTTGGGTCTATTTCTCCTAATTTCCAGTGTCTCCTGTTTGGATGTCATGGGAAATGTTACGCTGATATATGCAATGGCTTAGGACTCATGAATGTACAGTATATAGGCCACTAAACCAGAGCAATAAGCATGGAGATATATTCACTATACTGCTGTACTATACTGTAAAGGGATGTGAAAGAGAATAAGTCACTCAGTGTTTCTGTACTGTACCACTCAGCAGTTTGTCATGCCAAGCCCACACACGCCAGACTCACAGGCTTTTTTCATAATACATATTCCGCTCTGTAGGAATGTCGATCCATGGAGCTCGCTGGCTGGTGTCTCCAGTGCCAAGTGAGATTGGGAGGAGGGGTGGGGTGGAGGAGAGTGCTGAGGGACAGGGAGGGGTGGGGGGGCTTGTTCTGTCTGACTACAATTAGCCAGAACAAAGCTATCATTGTCACAGCTAGCCTGCCCTGTAGAGGAGAGGAAAGGGGGCTTTTGGCTGAGAAGAAATTAGGGGGGGGGGGGGGGGGAGGAGTAGCTGCAGACATTAACTGTAGTCTAGTCTCCCACTACTCTCTGTCAGACCTCATCTCTGGTCAAACACCCCACATTCACAGGGCAATCATTCTGCTGCAGGGGGAGCGGTATAATCTGTTATATTGTATATACAGTAGGTCCCGTGTAGCTCAGTTGGTTGTGGGTTCGATTCCCACGGGGGGCCAGTATGAAAATATATGTACTCACTAACTGTAAGTCGCTCTGGATAAGAGCATCTTCTAAATGACTCAAATGTAAATGTATCTTATCTTTGTATCCCCTCCAGACTCTGTACCCTATTCTGCCTAGTTTACTGGACAGTGACCCATTCAGGGGGAGCAGTGGGCTGCTTCTCCCCGAGGAAAATGAGCCGTTCCTGGATAGCGGTGGTGTGCAGGTCCCTGGGGAGACAGACCAGGTCCTGGAGGTCCTGACAGAGACCAGCAGACTGCTACAGGACTGTCAGCTCCACAATGAGATCTCCTCTCAGCTCCTGGCCTATCTCTTCTACTTTATCAATGCCTCACTGTTCAACACACTCATGGAGAGAGGTGAGGACACACACACACACACACACACACACTCTCTCTTTCTACGTCATCAACACTGATCTTTTTGTGTGTGAAGGTTCAGAGGTTGAATTCTACCAGTGGTCCAGAGGGGTCCATATCAGTGCTAACCTAGACCTGCTACTGGACTGGGCCCAAGGGTCTGGGTCTGGACTGGGAGACTTGGTTGTGGAACACCTCCACACACTCTCCTCTGCTGTCAACCTACTGGCCACGCCAAGGGAACAACTAATGCAGGTCAGAGACGCTCATACACACGTGCATGTGTGCATACACACACACACACACACACACACACACACACACACACACACACACACACACACACGGGAGAGGGGAGAGGTGACACACACACACGCTCACTCCTCCACACACACACTTTCCCTGTAGTCCTCCTGGGAGTCCCTGCGGTGTGCGTTCCCCAGTCTGAGTCCAGCCCAGCTCCACCACCTGCTGAGGGGCTACAGCCCAGCCACACCCTGGCCCCCACACTGGGCCCCTTCTGATGAGGATCAACTAGCTACACAGAACACTGGTCAGTTGGTTGATTGTCTGCTGTTAGTCCACTATAGTAAACATCTGGCTTGTTTTGTGGCTTGGTTTTTTCAGTGTTGCCATTTCAAACTGAGACAAGCAAACCAGCAACATAGACACAGTATTAAACCTATGATGACTACATGATATTTGTGCTACATGATCCTTTGATTTACTTTCTCTTAACCCGGTATCCTCCCCCTCTTGTCCTCCTCTCACTAGCTGATATCCTGGAGAGTTTTGACAGCCACCCTCCCCTGGTGCTGCCCAGCTCTGGTTTCAGCCTGGGGCTCAGGGGAGAGGTGACAGACTCAGGCCTGGCTGGACAGCTCAGGAGGTTGCAGGAGTTCATCAGCAACCTGTCTGTCAAAGAGTCACCAGGGAACATCACTCATACGCACACGCAACAGGTAACACATCTGGTTCACACCTATTGCTTGAATTAATTAGACATGGGTTTATATCTATATGATACTGGTCTACTACTTTTTTTGTGGAACTATTTTGTTCTAGAACTCTTTTAGAACTCATATGCTCTGTTCTGGAACTCCCACAGGATTCCGCTGTTCCCATGGAAGCCAAGCTGACAAAAATGGCAACTCTCCCAAAGGCCTCCCTGGAGTTTTTCGACTCCCCCCCCGCAGAGAAGGTCCTACCTCTGGCCTCTCTCTCCAGCCCCTCTCCCCCATCACCCCACTCTCAATTATCTATGCCCTCTCCCCTTCACCCTCCCCCCTCTCCCCCCCTGCAAAGCCCCTCTCCCCCAAGTGATTTGAACTCTTGTGGGGCCCTGCTGACCCAGAAGCTGAAGAGCCTGGAGCTCAAGTTCAGAGAGACAGACCTAAGCCCCCTCACCCAGAGGAGGTCAGCCCTGGACCCCTCCTGTCTCCTCACCCCTCCTAACACCCCCCATAGCCTGGAGCTGGTTGACCCAGAGACTGAGCATCGGGAGGATGAAGAGGAGGATGAAGAGGTGTTTACTCTAGAGCTACAGAGAGGAGATAGAGGACTGGGATTGGCTCTGGTGGATGCAAGGGTGAGCTAAAGAGACAATGATATACACTTTAAAAAATGACTATTTGGATCAACCCAAAAAACAATACTTCAACTGGTTACAAGTAAATGAGTTAGGTTTTCTCATTTGAAAAAAACTACATTTGTTAAAACCAAATATATTATTCAATGCCAACTGTTATATTTGATTATTAACAAACCTATATTTCAAGTTGTAACCTATTTCTTTCAACACTCAACCTACTTTTCCCCTTTGGTTAAACCTAATAAATAACAAATACAACCTAATGTCAACCTACTGGCCACGCCAAAGGAACAACTAATGCAGGTCAGAGATGCTCATACACACGTGCAAAGGTGACACACAAACGCTCACCCCTACACACACACTTAATGCCGATTTATTTCCCTGTGAGTTACAAACAATTGGGTTAAAAAAAAACAATTAAATCAGTTCCCCTGTAAATTAATGAATGAAGTTTGTTCAATAACTTGAAATAATCTTTCCAAACGTATCCTAAATGACATTTTAGTCATTTAGCAGACAATTTATCAGGCTGTCTTATCCAGAGCAATTAGGGTTAACTGCCTTGTTCAAGGGCACATCAACAGATTTTTTTGACCTAGTTGGCTCGGGATTCACCTTTCAGTTTCTGGCCCAACACTCTTAACCGCAAGGCTAACTTCACATTTACTAACCACAATATCATAACCAACTATAGCTACATTAACACAGACAACTTATCAGGCTGTTTAATATCATGTGCCCTCATATTTTTACCGATGCTGGCAGTGTTTAAGTTAGAATAAGAAATACAATAGACCACATTAACTGGAAATGACATTCAATCTCACGGGTGGGCAAAAAGAACAAAGTGAAAGCCTCGCCCCAATAAACCACACCTCCAACTCTTCTGATTGGCTGCCACCGCTACATTGCCCCCACCGCTTTTCAATGCACATGCACATATGAGGTGTTGAAAGCAATTAAGAAGCTTTCACTCAATTCCAATAATCACATTGATCAGACAAACTGATTAGAATAGGTTGAACAAACCAAAGCGTAATTTTCGATAATTCCAACAGTGTACTCTTCTCTATTCTGCCCCATCTAAAACATCCTGCAGCTCTCCAGGACCAGTGGTGTTTGTGCTGTCTGAGTGACTGGCCTTAACCTTGGTGAGGTTTATCTTTAGGTAATAACTCACTCTGAAAACATCCACTTTAGACCTCCCTGGTTGCCCTGATGGCTATCTGCGATAACTCACTCAGAGTCTGTGAGAAAAAAACAACAAGGTCCATGGTCAAATCCATGAAGCTCAGATGACAGGAGTAGCCATTTTTATCATCTCCTCTATCTGCCCTAAAAACCAGGTTTCGTCATATATCATTGTATGAAGCTCTATACTGTCTCCTCCACACCTGGGTCCAATAGTCCAGCATGGTGGTCTGAGAACTGTTTGTTTTCTTTAAAATAGCAGATAATTAAGAGCTTTTCAGGACTGGGTTTTTATCTGGGTTTGCATGACTTGTTTGGGGTTAAGATTTCGAGGTAATTAGTAGACATGAGAGGATGCAAATGGTCTGTTTTTGGTATGCATTATTTGGCCACTCGGTCTCTGGAGGTCTATTTTGTGTCGGACATTGCCCTCTGGTGGTCTGAAAACTAAGTGCAATTTCGATGTTGAACATGAGTAAATAACCTCATGTCACAGTGAATACGTTTACATGCACACTAATAATTCGATATTAAATGGATTATGGCAGAAGGCAGAGTATGGCATTAGTCATGTAAACACCTTACTCTTTTTATCTTAATCGGCGTAAGGTCATAATCGAAGTAAGCATACGGCGATTAAAACCTGGTTTTCTGAGCAATCTTTCGAATGATTAGGACATGTAAACAGCTTAATCGGCGTACCCAGTGGTGTATTTGATCTGCGCAAACTTCCCTCTTATGCGCGAGTGAAGTGAGTTCGAAAAAACTGAAAGTATGCATCTTATAAATAGTTTTCACATACAAACTTTATATGTCCGAACTCAGAATCAAATAGTATTCGCAAAAAAAACATGGTCACTGTGGTAGAAAGTTTGTTTTGATTGGCGATTTTCTGCATTTATCAAAAGTCAGATGTGTCCATCCATGTAAACAGGATTATTAGGGGAATCATTTTTCTTGCAAAGCATGAAAATGTTTTAAATAACTATTATATTAACCTGACTGTCCACAATAATCGCATTATTGTGTGTATGTAACTGTGCTCAGTGTTGTACTTTAGTTTCTATACCCATTAAACTGTGTTGAAATGTCACACTTGTTTTACACACCTTTAAAACACCTTTATTCTTATTGCACTAAAATGGCTACATATTTCAGCATGAATTGTGTGGTAAAATGTTATTTTGGTTCCTGTATGGTCAGGACACAGCCTTGAAGCTGAGTGGTATCCTGATCCGTGCGGTGGTGCCAGACTCCCCTGCAGCACGCTGTGAGAGGCTGGGTCCAGGAGACAGGATCCTGGCTGTCAATGGAGTCAGTTTGCTGGGACTGGACTACACCAGGTGATAGAGAAATTGGTTGGTTGATGAATTGATTGATTTTGTTTGACTTTCTTTGATAACATTACTAATGTATAAAGTCTCTCTCTCTCTCAGTGGTAAGGAGCTGATCCAGTCTTCAGGGGACAGGCTCAGGCTGCTGGTGGCCAGGTCAGAGTGGAGAGCCATCACTAAAGTCAGCATTTAGTACCCTAACCATCACTAAATGCTAAGTGGCCTTCAACAAGTTCCCTTCCAGGACAAGCGATAAAGTGTACTTTGAGTACAGGTGTACTTTGGAGACAAGCAATGAAGTGCACTTTCAGGACACAAGATTTGAAAATAAGCAAGTGTACTATGGCCATCTTTTTCAGATCCTCATGAACACAAAGGCACCCAGCAGTCCTACAGAAATTGTACACTGTGATTTCATGGTATGGCTTATCCAGCTCTTCAGTCTCTAATATGGAGATACGTATCCAGCTCTTCAATATAGAGAAAATTAATTATTAATAAACATTTTATGAATCATTAATTGATGTGGTTATAATATTCCCAGAGGGCATAGGAGTATTTACACTGCTCTTTCCATGACAGACTGACCAGGTGAAAGCTATGATCCCTTATTGATGTCACCTGTTAAATCCACTTAAATCAGTGTAGATGAAGGGGAGGAGGTTAAAGAAGGATTTTTAAGCCTTGAGACAATTGAGACATCACTCAGGATTGTTAAAGCTTGGTCACAAATGGGTCATCCAAATGGACAATGACCCTAAGCATACTTCCAAAGTTGTGGCAAAATGGCTTAAGGACAACAAAGTCAATGTTTTGGAATGGCCATCACAAAGCCCTGACCTCAATCCTATAGAAAATGTGTGGGCAGAACTGAAAAAGCGTGTGCGAGCAAGGAGGCCTACAAACCTGACTCAGTTACACCAGCTCTGTCAAGAGGAATGGGCCAAAATTCACCCAACTTATTGTTGGAAGCTTGTGGAAGGCTACCCGAAACCGTTTGACCCAAGTTAAACAATTTAAAGGCAATGCTACCAAATACTAATTGAGTGTATGTAAACTTCTGACCCACTGGGAATGTGATGAAATAAATAAAAGCTGAAATAAATAATTCTCTCTACTATTATTCTGACATTTCACATTCTTAAATTAAAGTGGTGATCGTAACTGACCTAAGACAGGGAATTTTTACTAGGATTGAATGTCAGGAATTGTGAAAAACTGAATTTAAATGTATTTGGCTAAGGTGTATGTAAACTTCTGACTTCAACTGTACATACTATATACATTTTACGGAGACAGTATATTTTACAATAGTTATCTTTTGTTTGTTTTTAGTCCCATCCTTCAGCTACCCTCAACCTCTCCCATCCATCTCTGAAGACCATCCAGTTTGATTTCTATTTGCCATATATTTTTAACTGTGCTGTTTCTCAAAACTTCTGAACCTATATACATTTTACAGACAGTATATTTTACATTTAGTTATCTTGTTATTTTTAGTCCCACCCTTCAGCTCCACTCAACCCCTCCCATCAATCTCTGAACACCATCCAGTTTTGATTTCTATTTTCCATATTTTTTTCAGCTGTGCTGTGATGTTTCACAAAAGTTCTGAACTTTTTTATTCTCATAGTTTCTACAGATTGTAAATTAAAGATAACATTTTTTGCTAAGAGTATTGTATTATTGATCGATTGACTATGACTTTTCAAATCACCCAGCAGTGCTATTTGCAGAGTTAGCTCCCGGTAAATGTTGCAATTCTTCAGCCATTCCTGAACCTGCCACCAAAAACAAGCTACATATCGACAGTACCAAAACAAATGATGTAATGATTCTGTTTCTAAGCAGCAAAATCTGCAGAGCTGGGATGGTTGTATCCCCAATATATACACTATATAAACAAAAGTATGTAGACACCCCTTCAAATTAGTAGATTTGGCTATTTCAGCCACACCCGATTCTGACAGGTGTATAAAATCGAGCACACAGCCATGCAATCTCCATAGACAAACATTGGCAGTAGCATTACCTTACTGAAGAGCTCTGAAGAATCATCTGGCAGTCCGACAGACAAATCTGGGTTTGGCGGATGCCAGGACAACTCTACCTGCCCGAATGCATGGTGCCAACTGTAAAGTTTGGTGGAGGAGGAATAATGGTCTGGGGCTGTTTTTCATGGTTTGGGCTAGGCCCCTTAGTTCCAGTGAAGGGAAATCTTAATGCTACAGCATACAATGACATTCTAGACAATTCAGTGCTTCCAACTTTTGGGAAGGACCTTTCCTGTTTCAGCATGACAATGCCCACGTGCACAAAGCGAGGTCCATACAGAAATGGTTTGTCGAGATTGGTGTGGAAGAACTTAACTGGCCTGCACAGAGCCCTGACCTCAACCCCATCGAACACCTTTGGGATGAATTGGAACGCCGACTGCGAGCCAGGCCTAAATGCCCAACATCAGTGCCCGACCTCGCTAATGCTCTTGTGGTTGAATGGAAGCAAGTCCCTGCAGCAATGTTCTAACATCTAGTAGAAAGCCTTCCCAGAAGAGGAGGCTGTTATAGCAGCAAAAGGGGGGACCAACTCCATATTAATACCCATGATTTTGGAATGAGATGTTCGACGAGCAGGTGTCAACGTAGTGTATAACATTATTGGTTGCAAGAATTTTGTATAATAATTTAAATTGAAAAACTACGTTTTGAATCCGGCGTCGTTTTGTGTATCAGTTCATAAACCATGATCGGTACATCGAAAATCTCTTCCCAACTATTTTGCAATCTATATGGCACAACTGTACATTTCTTGGTCCTTCAATGAAACTGGTATACTTTTTTATTTATCACTATTTTCTTTAACCAATTTTGGTCTTTAATGCAGGGCCGACAGACAAGTTCCTTACTTTCTCCCCCTTCCACTTGCCTCTTCCATATTTGTGGTAATGCTGCAATTAGTTTATGTAATTTTGGGTAGAGCAGACATTTTCATATATTTTTTGTTAGCTGTATGTGTGACATAACTCCACCAGTCCTATTTATGATATCATTTACAAAGATAATACCGTTTTTTAAATTATCTTTTTATATACAGTACCAGTCATAAGTTTGGACACACCTACTCATTCCAGGGTTTTTCTATATTTTTACTATTTTCTACATTGTAGAATAATAGTGAAGACATCAAAACTATGAAATAACACATTTGGAACCAAAAAAGTGTTAAACAAATTAAAATATATTTGAGATGTGAGATTCTTCAAATAGCCACCCTTTGCCTTGATGACAGCTTTGCACACTCTTGGCATTCTCTCAACCAGCTTCACCTGGAATGCTTTTCCAACAGTGTTGAAGGAGTTCCTACATATGCTGAGCACTTGTTGGCTGTTTTTCCTTCACTCTGCGGTCCGACTCATCCCAAACCATCTCAATTGGGTTGAGGTCAGGGGATTGTGGAGGCCAGGTCATCTGATGCAGCACTCCATCACTCTCCCTCTTGGTAAAATAGCCCTTACAGGTGTGTTGGGTCATTGTCCTGTTGAAAAACAAATGATAGTCCCACTAAGCCCAAACCAGATGGGATGGTGTATTGCTGCAGAATGCTGTGTTAGCCATGCTGGTTAAGTGTGCCTTGAATTCTAAATAAATCACAGACAGTGTCACCAGCAAAGCACCCCCACACCATAACACCTCCTCTATGCTTTACGGTGGGAAATACATCCGTTCACCCACACCGCGTCTCACAAAGCCATGGCGGTTGGAACCAAAAATCTCAAATTTGGACTCCAGACCAAAGGACACATTTCCACCGGTCTAATGTCCATTGCTCGTGTTTTTTGGCCCAAGCAAGTCTCTTCTTCTTATTGTTGTCCTTTAGTAGTGGTTTCTTTGCAGCAATTCGACCATGAAGGCCTGATTCACACAGTCTCCTCTGAACAGTTGATGTTGAGATGTGTATGTTACTTGAACTCTGTGAAGCATTTATTTGGGCTGCAATTTCTGAAGTTGGTAACTCTAATGAACTTATCCTCTGCAGCAGAGGTAACTCTGGGTCTTCCACTCCTGTGGCGGTCCTCATGAGAGGCAGTTTCATCGTAGCGCTTGATGGTTTTTGCGACTGCACTTGGAGAAACTTTCAAAGTTCTTGAAATGTTCCGTATTGACTGACCTTCATGTCTTAAAGTAATGATGGACTGTCGTTTCTCTTTGCTTATTTGAGCTGTTCTTGCCATAATATGAACTTGGATTTTTACCAAATAGGGCTATCTTCTATTCCCCTGGGAAACTCCAGGGGGATTACCTGCTGCATCCATTAAATATATTTTGATTTGTTTAACACTTTTTTGGTTACTACATTATTCCAAATGTGTTATTTCATAGAGTTGATGTCTTCACTATTATTCTACAATGTAAGAAATAGTTAAAAAAATAAAGAAAAACCCTTGAGTAGGTGTGTCCAAACTTTTGACTGGTAGTGTATATATATATATATATATATACATACAGTGGGGAAAAAAACTTTTTAGTCAGCCACCAATTGTGCAAGTTCTCCCACTTAAAAAGATGAGAGAGGCCTGTAATTTTCATCATAGGTACACGTCAACTATGACAGACAAAATGAGAAAAAAAAATCCAGAAAATCACATTGTAGGATTTTTAATGAATTTATTTGCAAATTATGGTGGAAAATAAGTATTTGGTCAATAACAAAAGTTTCTCAATACTTTGTTATATACCCTTTGTTGGCAATGACACAGGTCAAACGTTTTCAGTAAGTCTTCACAAGGTTTTCACATACTGTTGCTGGTATTTTGGCCCATTCCTCCATGCAGATATCCTCTAGAGCAGTGATGTTTTGGGGCTGTCGCTGGGCAACACGCACTTTCAACTCCCTCCAAAGATTTTCTATGGGGTTGAGATCTGGAGACTGGCTAGGCCACTCCAGGACCTTGAAATGCTTCTTACGAAGCCACTCCTTCGTTGCCCGGGCGGTGTGTTTGGGATCATTGTCATGCTGAAAGACCCAGCCATGTTTCATCTTCAATGCCCTTGCTGATGGAAGGAGGTTTTCACTCAAAATCTCACGATACATGGCCCCATTCATTCTTTCCTTTATACGGATCAGTCGTCCTGGTCCCTTTGCAGAAAAACAGCCCCAAAGCATGATGTTTCCACCCCCATGCTTCACAGTAGGTATGGTGTTCTTTGGATGCAACTCAGCATTCTTTGTCCTCCAAACACGACGAGTTGAGTTTTTACCAAAAAGTTATATTTTGGTTTCATCTGACCATATGACATTCTCCCAATCCTCTTCTGGATCATCCAAATGCACTCTAGCAAACTTCAGACGGGCCTGGACATGTACTGGCTTAAGCAGGGGGACATGTCTGGCACTGCAGGATTTGAGTCCCTGGCGGCGTAGTGTGTTACTGATGGTAGGCTTTGTTACTTTGGTCCCAGCTCTCTGCAGGTCATTCACTAGGTCCCCCCGTGTGGTTCTGGGATTTTTGCTCACCGTTCTTGTGATCATTTTGACCCCACGGGGTGAGATCTTGCGTGGAGCCCCAGATCGAGGGAGATTATCAGTGGTCT